GTCACTGTCCATAAAGTTTTTGGGAAGTTGATCTTCTAATCAAATTTGCTTTACTATCGTTCCAAATCATTGCTGATTCAGCAGCACCAAGCAAATAGATTGATCATTAAGGTTCATGTCATAGTCTGTTTCATAGTAGTCCCAAAGGAACTCACTATGTGACTTAGAAAGTGATTGAACATCCAACTTTCTCAAGACTTTGACACCCAACTCTCCCGGCTTGTCCATATGTGACTTCATCTCTAAGATGTGATCACACATAGACCTTGCTTTCCATTAGGGTTTGAGTGACCTTGAACTTGTGGGTTAGGGAGAATAATTGGAGGAGGTGGAGGAAGAGAAGTATGACTTCCATGAGCCAAACTCGGGAAGTCATATTCCTAGGAAAGCTTGGTTTGGGAAGATCATTGTTGTCTAAACCAGACATCAACAATGGGAGAAATTCACGTAAAGTTGATTTAAGTCCTTAATATAACACCTAAGATATATTAAGGCTAGGACCCAACAAACTATTTTATAACTTGGAAGAGGGATGCTGTAATCCAAGCTATAAAATATTTGAAGGTAGGTGAATGACGATTCACCAATTTCCACCAAGATAAACGAAATGTATTATTAGGTTTTAATTGGTTTTGAAACTCCTAGATTCTTTTGAGATTCATTGAACTTTTCAATGGCATGTTTCAATCTCGAGTGTGCCCTTCAGGTTTTGTGACTGGGATGCGCGGATCACAAAACAAGGTGTGAAGTAACCATGCAAATATACTTGGTACCCTTAATATTTACCCCTCAATCGATGTGTCGGTAACACACACCCGCTCCAACGATACTATGATAAACATTAAGTTACCCTTTGCCTACCTGTTAAGTCCAGGTTAGTGTGCCGGTAACCACACACGCTCCACTAACAGCTTAAACAAAAGTGCAAAGTGTAATTTCATGGAGAGCACCGTATTCACATTTTCCTAAGTAACTAAGATTGAGAATTTATAAGTGTTTAGTTACTTAGTATTTATCATCATACTTATAATGAAGGGAGAATTATAGTCCTTGTCCTACCTGTTCGGCTAACGACCTCCACCAGTCAAGGAAGCGGTGGGTGAGAGAGGGACACCCATTAAACTGCCATTTATAGGCAGTAACCTTATACCCCCTTATAGACCGGCTTCGTGAATGAGGCCTACTAATGGTAAGACGACTTGCTCTTATACATATAATATTAAACTTTTAATATTATAATAGTATAAGGTGTATTTAGACATTTAAAATACGGGGGGGTTAATCTATTAATTAAACTATACTCTTAATTTAATTAAATTTAAACCATGTCATTATGGAATTATTAATTCTCTTTTAATTAAACACTTTAATTATCTATTAATAAAGTCCATAAGAGTTAATTGAATTATTCAATAAAACACATCATAATTCCAATTATAAATTCAAAATTAAAACCATTTATTAATTGTTTAAGTTATGGACCCAATAGTTTTAGAATTCAATTCTTTTTTTTATCATAAAAAAACTTTTTTCAAATTCCAAACTTGAGGGCAAGTTTTGTAACTCTTGAAAACTTTTGGATTCCATAACTTATGGAGTTAAATACTTGTTTTATGATGAAACTTTTCATGTTCCATAACTTAAGAACAAGTTATGGAATTCTTTAAAACATTAAGACCAAGTTTTGTAACTCCATAAAAAACTTTGAATCAATTTTTTTTTAAACTTTTTCATATCCATAACTTATGGAGGTTTCGAAAAACTCTTTAGATCAAACTTTTAAAACTAATAAAATAATCATATCATTTTATCTTTTACTAAATTTGACCTAATTCAACTCATATAGCAAATGATTCAAATTTTACAAATAATTAGTTTTTCACAAAAAACAAGTAATTATCTTAAAATTTGACAAACGTCATGTTTTTTTCCTTTTTTTTTTCAACTTGAAAATAAAACATTTGCATCAATATAACAGAAAACAACTCATGGCTCTGATACCACTGTTGGGTTTTGAGCATTCTAACACTCCTATGGTGTACATGCAACCCTATAAACCTTGGATCTATGTTTTCTCTATTATACATGCAAATATTAACTATTTCAAGGTTTCATCCTAACTAGCATATTATGAAGCCACCTACTATAAAGTTCTAGTTAGATGACATACCTTTTGATGTAGCTTGATGTCTTCAAGCTTTAAGAGCTTAGCCCCAATAGTGTGGAAGCCTCAAATGGAATCACAAATCACCAAAACACCTTGGAAGAACTTAAGAGAATATGTATGCACACTAAAATCGGCCCACTTTTAATTTCACACACTTGTGCCAATTTTGTGAGCCAAGGACCCCTTTATATATTATGGAGGATTAGGGTTACATCCATGTAAAACCCTAATACCCATGACCTTTTATTTACATAGGATCCATAGGTTAAAAGCTCCATGGACCATCCATAAAAGCTTAGCCCAACCTAAATGAACTTGGCCCATTCCATATATATAAGAGTCCATATTTAATTAGTTCTTTTTGATCACTTAATTAATTCTAAATTAATTCTTGATCAATACTAATTAAATAATATGATTCCATATTAATATATTAGAACTTATAATATATTAATATAAATCATAAATATACTATTCTCAAAAGACTATCCATATAAATTGTGCCGGTGAAGTGCAACCCAAATGGACCATGCCCGGTCGGGTCAAGTACATACCAAATATAGTTATGGACTTAGACATTAATCCAACAGTTAGATCGGTATCCTGGTAGATAGGATGTTACTATGTTGTTATGATCTGTTAGATCTGTATCCTGATAGATAAGATGATGTCATGCTTAGTGATCTGTAAGATCTGTCTGTTGACTGGTTATGTGTTTAATTGTTATGTATATGTCGACATGTATGTGTGTGGTTGGGTTGAGGCGGTCCTGCTTTGTGTTGAAGGCCAACAGACCAAGGGCGGCCTATATAGACTAAAGGCCTGCGAGGCGGTCTAGTCAGGCCGAAGGCCCGACGAGCGGTCCGAATAGACTGTAGGCCTTGCGAGGCGGTCCAGTCATGCCGAAGGCTCGGGAGCGGTCCAGACAGGCTGTAGGCCCGGTAAAGCGGTCTAGACTTGCTGAAGGCTCTGTATGCATGCTGTTATTTGTATATGTTATCTGTTTGGGTGTTGATATTTTGGGGGACTCACTAAGCTCCGTGCTTATAGTTTTGGTTTATGGTTTCAGGTATTTCAGTGGATCGTGGCAAGGTGAAGGCATGACCGTACACATCCTCGCGTTTTGGACTTATGATTTTTAGGAAACTCTGATAATGTGAGTGTTTTGAAAACTATGTTGAAAGAGATTCTGATTTTTATATAATGTTTTGGGAACAACGGTTTTTGTAAACACTTTTATAGAAAAAGGGTTGTTTTGAAAAGTTTAATTTTTATGGATTTTTATGGATGTTACATATACTAACCCTTTGTGATTTTCGATTTACATAGGTTAGTTCATAGTTTTCATAGTATGTTCCTATTATGAGAAAAGTCATAGATGTTACATATACTAACCCTTTATGATTTCGCTGTGCAAATTTTGTTGTTTTAACTTTTAGTGTAACCTAGAAAACTCATTAATGGTATCAGAGCCTACAGTTTTATGTATAATATACACATTGGTGAAAAACTATAAAAACCAGGTTATACCTGATTTTCGAAAATCTCTAGCCCTCTAGGGTTTTCAATTTTCCTCCGCCCCTCTTGCCTTTTTTTTCAAAGGTTACAAGGGTTAATTACTAGTTTCCGTAATTGTTATTTTACTTGTTTAAAATTTGAACATTTAATAAATTAGGTAATTTTATATAATCCCTAATTTCAAATTTTAAGGAAGAGAATAAGAATAAATATTATTTAATTAAAAGTCTAATTAAGATAATGATTTGATTCTTAAAAGATTTAATTGTAATTAATTAAGAGTTTAATTAAAGATAATTATTAATTGGTTTAAATATTAATTAATTAAAATTTTATTAAATTAATAAGACTTAAACATTGTATTCTTAAAAGCTTAATAATACACCCTTACACACACATGTGTGTGTGTATATATATATATATATATATATATTATATATATATCTTATATATATATATATATAAGATTTTATAATACTATATGTAAAAAATTAATAATTTGTCAATCAAACCAAGACTAGGCCTCATTCATGAAACAATATTATAAGAGATGTATAAGGAAACGACCTATAAAACGATCGTTGAATATGTGTCATTTTCACCCACCGATTTTTTTTTGTGTGGTGAAAATGAAAGATACCTTGAATCGGGTGTTACACCATCCAATACCAAACCTTCCTGACCCATTATCCGTTCTCCAACGAATAACCCGACACCTTCCTCCATTCTTCCTACTATCGTCTTCAACACCTTCCTCTATTCATAAGAAACAATAAAATGACGTTGCTTCCCTTCTACAACTAACTTCATCAATGTCGCCTCCATTGACGATAGACTGTCATTCTCTCTGTCATCTCCTTCCGTTGCGACGATACCCTTCTCTCCCATATCTTCTTCCTTTCCGTCTATTTGAAAACCACAAGAAAACCCAACCCTCACCAACCCCATTCCCTTCGTTATTTGTGACTGCCATTGAAACAAACCCACCAACCCCTTATCCCTTGTGTATCACTGCCGATGTTCTCCTTTTGATTTCCTTCTTTCACAACCGATGTGTGTCTTCTCTTTTAATAGCACTTTCTACTTTTGTTAGCTCATAATTCCGTTGGTGAATTTTGAATAATTGTGATGAGTTTCATGTTAATGTTGAACAATTGTTAGCTCAAACCTAACAGGCTAAATCTGCAAAGAAACCAAATTTGGAAGTTCAATAGATTCATCCACATTTACTTGAACGACTACAAATTGATGTTTTTTTTTAAAGAGAACTGCAAATTGATGTTATATGTGGCGTAAAATCAAAATTGGCATATTGATGTCACCAAATCGAAATAGAAATAGTAATATGGGATGCAATGTTGTGGTGCGATGGTTCTTCGACGACTTCTGGTTTCAGGAAATTGACCCATTAGATATCTCCAATCGTAGATACTTTCTTGATGTTTGGTTGTCCATTTACAAATTCATGATATCCCGATACAATTTTGTGATAAATTCTCGAGACGTTAATGTGGGTTTTGAGTACAAGTAGAGATTCAAGTTGAAAATCTAGGGTTCTCTGGTGACATGATGAAGATGGCGGCGTGAAGATGAAGATGACGGCGTGAGATCTGGTACTCCGACAACATGACGAAGACTCCGACAACATTACAAAGATGAGAGGAAAGAGGTGTTTTTTTTTTGTAAATTTTCTTTTCTATTTTTTTTGTTAGGTTATATTTAATTAAGAAAAAGATTTAAAAAAAAGGTATAAATATCATTTCATGTGGCTCAACGACCAACCGTGCAACTTTTAAAAACAACAAGAGTCATTCGCAACCAAAAAATTTACAAGAATTGAGCTTATGATTTTTAGTAAACTATAGGTACTATTTATGTAATTTTGTCCAAATAAAACTTTGGGCTGGGTTCAAATCGTTAATGCTTCGTGAGATTTTGGAAGTATTCCAACTCCTCGATCGAGCACACAACAAATCCGCTGCTTCTCAACCTTGTCACCGCTGCTAACAGCCTCGTCTACCTCTCCGCCTTTCATCCTTGTCGCCGCCTCCTCTCAGGTAAGAACAAAAACCCTAAATTCTCTAGAATATAAAAAGTTTCAACATTTTGTTCTTTCAATTTTGTTAGTCCGTGATTTATTGTTAAAGATTTTATAATTTTGCAGAAATTAGATCTATTGGTGATTTTAGGAAGTTATCAACTCTATGGTTGGATTGGATAATTCAAAAAAAAAACCCTTGTATTTTTGACATCGACTATTCTTTTTTTTTTTTTTTTTTTTTTCCTTATTTGATGTGTTTGGGGTTTCATCAGTTTGTATGTCTCTAGTAAATCCGTTTGATAAATCAAAAATTTATATTTGTATTTACTGCTGAATTGTAAAGCCCTTAGTTTTTGGAAAATGAAATATAATATCATAGCAAAATAAGTAACTAGCAAGCTCAAAATAAAACATGTGGAGAAAGATTGATTAAAAGAAAAGTAGTTCTTGATATTGCATCAAAATAAATCCCTAGTTAACCTAGATGAATTCGAACATACTTGATTTTACCCTTTATTACAAACTGTATTTCATCAGCTTTCAACATCCAAAAAGGCTAAACAAAACACGATCTATATACGATTTAAGTCAAAATTCATATGGTTATTCTTACAAAATATTAATAACTTTGATTTTGATTTTAACCATTTTTATTGTAGACCATTAGACCCTTTCAAAAGGTATCGTTGCCCTTGAAAAACCCCAAACTGTTTAAGTTATCATTTTCTTAATAAATTGGGCTAAATTTTCTTTTGCCACCTCATATATAAGGTTCAAGAAGTCCCTAAAAATGGCTGATGGAGAAGAGGACTTGCCAAGAGATGCCAAAATTGTGAAAACTTTGCTAAAGTCAATGGGGGTTGACCACTATGAACCCCGTGTTGTTCACCAGTTTCTAGAATTATGGTATCGATATGTGGTCGATGTGTTGACCGATGCACAAGTTTACTCAGAACATGCTGGAAAGTCAACCATTGATTCCGATGATGTCAAGCTTGCTATTCAGTCTAAAGTCAACTTCAGCTTCTCCCAACCTCCTCCACGAGAGGTAATCATGATTCCAATTCCATTTTTGCCATTTCTTGAAATTAGAATTGTTCACATTAGCATGCCAAATGCAGTATAAGGGTCTTCTGTTTGGTTGATGGAATGGAATGGATAATAAGGTAATGGAATTGGCCTGTAGGAACTGGATGATTTTTTATATGATATGCAAATACAAAGAGAAGAATTTTAAGGAAATCAGATTACCTGTTGAACGTGTCTTTCTGTTCCTGAACCTGAATATCTTATTCCATTCCTGATGTGATTCCTGCATACCAAATAGGGCACTAAACAGCGAAAAATAACTAAGTGGAAGTAATCACATTCCTTTGGACTGGTTAATTCCATTCCATCGGGCAAAACAAAGAGGTTTTCTTCTTGGATTCCATCATACCAAACACTACCCAAGTTTATCTGCCATGTCATGTTATGCATAACAAATGAGCCAAATTCAGTATCATTCATGTATATTGTTATATTGTATTCTTGTTCTGATTGTGGCATGATTTCTTTAAAAGGTGCTACTGGAATTAGCGAGGAACCGGAATAAGATTCCGTTGCCGAAGTCGATAGCCGGACCAGGAATGGCACTGCCCCCTGATTCCGACACTTTGATCAGTCCAAATTATCAACTTGTGATTCCGAGGAAAAGAACAAATGAAGCTATTGAAGAAACAGAGGAAGAGGAAGAAGGTAGTGACCCTAAAACAAACATGTCACAAGAACAAAGGACGGATTTGCCACAAAATACTCCTCAACGGGTTTCCTTTCCTCTTGGCCCAAAACGGGCTAGGTGAAGGTCAATTTCGTAAATTGATATAGATTGTTAATTGTTCATGTATGTTTGATAATTGAGATAATGCTAGTGAAAACTGAAACTTTGGCATGTTAGTTAAAAAAGTATTTTTATATCGTGTATGGCTTATGTTTCTGTTTTTAATCTCTATAAATGCGTTGCTTTACTGAATGGTTCATACTTACAGAATGAACAAAACCTGTTTCTTTTGCCCGATTGAATGGAATGGACAATTCCTTAAGAAAAGCCATTCCTTTCATTTTGTTATTTTTCATTCCTTACCCAGGAGTGGTTCGTTCAATTGTGCAATCAAATGAAGCAAATACAACACACACACACACACACATATATATATATATCTATATATATATATATATATATATATATATATATATATATATATATATAGGTTAGGTTCTATGGAAAACAAGAAACTCTAAAAAAAACCCTAAAAATCATATATATATATATATATATATATATATATATATATATATATATATATATATTGGTTATGTTAACTAAATGAAGATTTTATTATCTAGAGTAACTAAAAAAGATATTACAGTGAAAGATTGAAAATGTTTATTAAAAATCTCAATAAACCTCTTTCCATAACCCATAAAAAAACTATGCAAATATACATAAGGTAGGTGTCGGAGAGAGTTTTATGAAGTCTATTAAAGGTCTAATAAAAAAACATATTCAAAATACATAGATGTTGGAGATGAATAACGAAATTAAAAATAATATGAGATAAAATACAATAGAAAGAAGCTAACAATGAAATAAAATTGTGTTTTAATCAAAATGAAGTCAATTTTGATCTTCAATCATACCCCTGATTTTTCATTCTTTCGGATTTTCAGTTGTAGATGTTATCCACATCTCTGTCCTTACAACAAACATAAAATGGATTTTAGATCCATACCTTGTGTGTTTCTTAGCTGTAGCACTTCACAACACGGGTATCGTTGCTACTAGGGGTGTTCGCGTTACGGTTTACAGTCAAAACCGCACCGCATATGCGGTTTGGAATTTTCGGAAACCAGGAACACTCTAAAACGCACTATACGGTGCGGTTTGGTGCGAGCGGTTTAAACGTTTTTTGTGCAGTTTGAGTAGAGGTACAAACGAACAAAAGTCTAACCAATTTCGAGCTTGGCCCAAGTGATTTCATGATATGGTTCCAGCTAAAACTTGACTATCGCCGAGCCTCTTATATAATTCATGATCTATTCAATTATATGGTCAAGAGATGTGTTATTATCAACTATGTTTTAGAAGAGAAAAATTTGCTCACAATGTACTTTGATTAGCTATTTTCATTGCAAAATATTTAAATAAAATAAATGTTAAGAGTTTGTGTTCAAAATGGAAAGATTATGGACATTAGTGGGATGTGGAAATGAATTTCTAGTAATATTATTAAATAAAACATAATGGAACAAACCTTCTATTATGATTTTCCAAAAAAAAAAAAAAAAAAAAAAAACCACAAACATATAACAAAATGATATAATAATTTATACTAGTTAATTCTTTCAAATGAAAGATTAACTTGGCACAGAATCATGAAAATCAATATGAAACTGGTCGACAAATGTTTTCGGTACAGAAACGCATTTAGGTAAGTTCAATTGAGAAAATAAAAAAGGTTGAGAATGGGGGAATCATTCTCAGCCACTCATTTATTTTTGTCGCAAAAGCCTCCGTTGTACCAGCGAAAATGGATAAGGAATACACACAGGGGCGGACGCAAGAATTAGTAGTAGGGGCTGCACAAATTTTTTTTTTCCGGTCAAACATAATATAAAACATTAAAAAAAAAATTCCGGTCAAACATAATATAAAACATCTAATACAAATTTTTTTTTCTGGTTAAACATAATATAACAATGATCTATTAGAATTTAAATTTGTCATCTTCATACAGATATCTTTTGAAACCGCTCCATTACTTTTTCATTCTCAACTTTCGCAAGTGCTTCGGTCTCGACATTACAAAGCAATGCGTCGTTCAAAAATTTATCGTCAATTTTGTTACGCAAGTCGGTCTTCAAGAGCTTCATCTTTGAAAAACATCTTTCTACACTTGCGGTCGCTACGGGTAATATCAAAGCCAACTTTAAAAGCTTATAAACCAAATGATAAGACCGATGCTTCCCCGTACTAACCATCAAACGAGAAAGGTCGGAAATTCCTTCAAACTAGTGAAGCGCTCATCTTTGATGCAAGAGTGATAAAATATCTCAAGTTGTCCTTCAAGGTCTATCATATCTGAATCATTAAATTCATACTTGTATAACTTACCCAACTTCAATAACTTTGATTTGTCAAATTGTACAAATGAATCACAAGGGCTCAAAGCACCCATGTATTCTAGTAATTGGGTGCTTGTTTCACTAAATCGATCCCAATATTCTGTAAGTTGCATATCTACCACCGTGTTGAAGATTTCAACCTCAAAATGAAACCTATTAGTCTTTGTAGTCCTACGGTTTCTCGCACCAATATACAACTCTTCCATATCTAAAGTATCAATTTCGTGTGTTTGACAAAAAGATGATACTTTTGGCAAAATGCTAGCAAACCCTATGTTTCTAAAAGATTGCAATGCCTCCATTGTCCCTCTAACCATCGAAGTCGCTTCTAAAATGTCTAGATCTTTTCTTTGAAGTTGTTTTTACAATGTACCCGTGAGGTGTAAAATGTCATACATCATATGTAAGTAAAACACGAACTCATATGATTTAAAATATGCTAAGATTCCAGATGCTTGTTGACGGTTTTCCAATGACCCTCCCTCCTCTTTCACAAAATCTAAAACTACATGAACATCCGCAAACAACTTCATCAAACTTGTGAGTGTGTTGAAATGTGAACCCCATCTTGTTTCTCCCGCTCGAACTAGATTCATCAAATAGTAAAGCAAAAACATCTTGACCAATCTCTTCACGAATACTCAAAAGTACTTCTTGTGCAAAACATTGCACAAGTTCTTTTTGAATTTTAGGGGAAATTAGTTGATTGTTTTTAGGAGCATTTTCTAAAGTATTGTTGAAAATATCTTCACTAGTCTCTCGAATGGCTTTTAACACTTCAATGTAAAGCCCTCTATTTTCCGAGTTAACCGACTCGTCATGACCACGAAACGGTAAACCGATTTTCAATAAAAGTCTAACAACAATAATAGAAACACGTAATCGAGCTTTATATTTATGGTCCTCTGCTTCGGTTTGCCTCCTCAAGACTACATTAATAGCTTGATTTTCCCTCATTAAAAACTCACACTTTTCTCTTGCTTTGTTGTGAAAACTATCAACACCACCCACATGAGTCCGAAATGCATATTTTTTATTCCAAGTATCAAAACCTTGGGAAACAAATGCATCTCTCCCTCCTTTTTGTCCCATGAGGTCCCCACACAAATAACAATATAAACAATATGCAATATTCTTTTTCACACTATATTCCAACCAATCAAAGTCATCAAACTATGAAGGAACGAATCTTCTAAATCTATCACCTATTTGTTTTTTAGGAAACTTATGTGCCCTTACTTGACACGGTCCTTGAAGCAAATATGTTCTTCTTACATCATCTCTTATATTTGATTTGTAACTTGTAATCAATGGCCTATCCGCCGGGTCCTTTGGAAGATCTTTCAATTCAACATTATCATTAGCTTGGTTAGAGCATGGTGTTTGTGGAGTTGCATTAGGATTAGAAACAGAAGGGATTGATTGATTGGTGATTGGTATTTGGGAACATTCTTCACCACTTTCATTAGGATTAAGTCTTTGTCTTTTGGTAAAAAAACCACTTAGTTTAACCTATAAAAACATAACAATTACACCTAATCAAACAATGACTTCAATAAAAACAAGTTGCTTTCACCTAATCAAACAATAAATTCAATAAAAACATAACAATTACACCTAATCAAACAATGACTTCAATAAAACAAGTTGCTTTCACCTAATCAAACAATAAATTCAATAAAACATATCAATTTCACCTAATCAAACAATCAATTCAATAAAAAAGATAGGAATATAACCTAAGCAAACAATATAACTTCAATAAAACAAATGAATTTCACCCAAGTCAATTAATAACTTCAAAAAAACATATCAATTTCAAATATCTAAATGAATTGGTAAAACTTACTTGCTTCATTGTAGTGTAGGGCTTTGAAGTGGATTTTGTTAACCAAAATAGTAGAAATTGAAAGAAGACAGAAGTTGATCGATACTTGCTTCAAGAGATTGAGTGATTGACTATTGTTGAAAACTTGAAATCGATCAAGAATTGTGATCGATCCAACAATGAAATCGATCAAGGATTGTGAGGTCACGAGTCAGAATGTCGACAGTAGCCAAGGCCAGGAACGAATAACGATCGAAGTCATAGAATGAATTTTGGACGCAGGAAGTCGAGTAGTCGATCTGTGTAATCGTGTTTTTTTTCCTTGTATCGATAATACACAATTACACACTCAATTAATTAGGACCGGGCTATCTTTTTTACAAGCAATTATCCCAATTGCTAATTTATCCAATTAAGTTTTATTTTGGGCTTTGGGCAATTGGACTATTAGACAATAATTGATTAAAACATTGGGCTCGTTATTATTTTTTTTCGTTTGGTAATTCCCGATAGAGTGACAATATTTTTTTTATGTAGTTGCACAGAATTTTTTTAGTTGTTGCACGATTTTTTTTATGTAGTGGCACAATAGGTAAAAATTTTAAAAAAATGAAATTTTTTCTACTACGTGCGCGGAAGCTAGATGTTGCCGGTGCCACACCGGGCACCTAGCTAGGACCGCCCCTGAATACACATGTGTTTCCAACAAAACATGTTTTCTTAAACTATGTTAATCATTATCTTAATATATAGAAAAATATTGTTTTTTTTTTTCGTTTTTTTAATTTTTAAGAAGTAATTTTTATCGAAAAATGATTTTAATGTAACATACACGTTTAGTTATCGTGTTTTATAATGAATAATATTATGAAATATTATATGATATTGAGTATTGAGTTCTAACAGATAGTTTTTACTAAAAATGAAGTAAAACTATGTTTACAATCACTCGGAGATATTGGAAGTCTTATGAGATTCCAATTAAAAGTTACAATATTGAAATTTAACGAA